ATTTATTACTATTTAATTCTTACAAGAATTCCCTCATAAATAAAGAACATAAGGGCACTCTGTAGACAGGCTCGTTGGGTATGAACCCAATAACCACCAAATAATGATAATAATCCTTCATCCTTTATCATACGCTATATACACAACAAACATCACATCATACATACATATATACAATAATTACATATTTATATCAACAAATTCAACATAAATTAATAAATTAATAAATTAATAAATAAATAAAATAAATAAATAAATAAAAATAAAAGGTTAACAAGGAACAAGAACAAAAATCATAATATACCTTAACATACATACCCTCATAAGGTGATACATCTTATACTTAAATGGCCATTACTTTACGACTAAACAATTATCCATATAATCAACAACATCAACATCCATAACATAATCATCTCATTACTCATAAGTCTGTGCCAACCCTCTATAACCTCACTATGGCAATCTTCAGAAAGTTTAAGTTAGCATACGGTGTATTGTGAACCTGTTGTCGACTCCTTAGAACCTTCATACCACAACAGGCAATCAACAACAATCACGTAATTTATTACACACAGAGTCGCAAGGAAGGAACAACAAACAGTTTTACAGCGATGCCGTCCCGTATGCAGGGAAAATATCATTCTCTCCGCTGCACTTGCCTGCAGTGGATACGTCAACGTGAGTGCAGCGAACTTTGAAATTGCACCCCAAACAGCCGGAAGCCCGGCAGAATAAATTGAAGAGTCATATGAATTGTTGCTGCAATGATAAGCGAACACCAACGGCCAGAAGAAAGAAATAAAATGCACGATGGGAACTCAATAGATTCGTTTGTATATCTGTTACCCAGTTTTCAGTTATGGGATCCGTATACACTGTAGCGAATGGAGACGTCACTGTTCTACGTCCCATATTACCAGCAATGGGCATTGGAATGCTCACTGGCTTCTCTTGAGTTGCTCATATACTGCAATTTGGATTGCTGCATGCGGCGCTAAGGCTAATGCGGGGCCGACGCCTCTGTAAGATTCTCTCACGCCACCGCGGACGGCGCTCACTATGCAATTAAAGCCGTTGCGGAACTGAGGCCACCCGGACGCCTGCATTATATTAGCCCGCAAGCCACTCTCTACCCACATAAAAGTAAGCTCTGTAACGAATATCCAAATAGAGCAACGCATTAATTCCATATAGGGTGGTGGACGACTAGAAGTATGAATGCATGCGATAAAAGGGGAACAGGACCGATTACACCGAAATTGATTGTAGGCAGACATACGATCAAGACACATACTCCCCACAGAAGGTAATGCAGCCATACACAGACGAGTATGAATTCACGGATGTGGAGGCAAAAAGAAAACAGAACATAAACTGGGCCACCGCATCAATCATCTACTGCTATCTCTGCATATATTAGAGGCTGTGTCAGTCCGCCAGTATAGATACAGAGAGTTCTTGCATTGTTATTCTCAGTCGTTTTCTTTACATAATCAATGCGGTCAGCATTTGGCCAAGAATAGTCCAACAACTTCGTTCAACTGACGGACAACTTAACTTCAGTCCAGCAACATCAACTACATACATACCTCCGCTTCCTTTGCTTGCATTTCCATTCGGGCTTTGGCGAGCCACAATGGGTGAGTCAGGAAGGTGACGAGAACGCCGGCGACGAGGCCACTGGCCTGAAGCGAAGCGCCAAATGCAGAAAAGGAGGAGGGGAGAATCGAAAGCCAAGAGACGTGAGGAGAGATGTGTTTGCAGACCCGTTCGATGTTGTTGAAATCCAGGGTTAAGACGACCGGCCATATCCTACAGTGAAGTGTGTTCTTGCATAGCTCCATTACTTCGAGATAGTGTACTTGAAAACAAAAGCAAAAGTAAATGAAACTATGCGCACAAGAACACATTGAGGAACGCAATGAACGCTGGGGTGTATGCACACCACATCGTCAAGCGAAGTCCGCTGCGTCACTTCATTTGTTCTGCTCGAAGTTCCGCAAAGAGCCTCCCGCCAAACGGGAAACTTGACACCAAGTCGATCGAAACTGCACAAAATTGCACACAAAATCAGGCATATTAACCATTAATTAATTTATGGATGAATACAGAACCAGATGCACGAGGAACAGAATTCCAAGGGTGGAGGAATTAACCTTCCCGAACACACATCCTAACGTTTCAATGAAACACGTATACCTTTGAATAAAGCAACAAGAGCAACAGTACCTAAGCTAACTCAAGTGTAGGAAATCTAGACCGGATTCAGTAAATAAATAATACCATACATACACCATCTGTGAGTGGCACAACACATGCCGTCCATTACCGGCCTCCCAGCACGCAAAAGAGATCAAAGTTATATTACAAAAACTTACATGTATCTAAAACAAGTCCATGAAGTCGAAGAGGCTGCAGCTGTCACCCCCACTCCTTTCCAAAGTCCCCTGAGGCCTTCTTGCTTGTAAATTCGAGTTATTGCACGTCGCGTTGAACCGTAGGAAGGAATGGCTCCGCCACTCACCGCAGCAACTGACAAGAAAAAAAAGAAACAGAATAGCAGGCAATATAATATGGAAAAGATGCTTGTATGCACGTACTTTAACGCAGCCATAGGTACATATAAACAGCAAGCAAACCCTCCGTGATACACTGTCCTACAGTGTGATCAACAAACGCAGGCTTTCGTTACCGTCGTCCACATCAGTTCACGTGGAGCTTGCACAATTATATTGGGCTTTATTTCTTCTCTTGTGTCTTTATTACCTTGCATGCGAGTTTTGATAAGGTCGAAAGGATGCAGTGCACAGCAAGTGAGGAGTGCAGCTGCTCCGGATGCACCGGCAGCTAATTTTGGCCGATCTTCCCAACTGAGATTTGATGAGATAAGGAAAGGTGAACCTGTAGGGAATATTCCTGCACGTTCACGTTCTGGGCTTGGGATGTCTGACGCATCACTCCGTCGAATTGTCTGCTCGCAGCTGCTAATATCAAGCTCCCCTGTATCCCCTGTTCCCTCGGATAAGTATTGAAGCATTGCCTCTCTCGTGTTTGCAGAGCCCGTTATTCTAAAGGTACCAGTGGAGCCACAGGGCAGTTACATGATAAGCTGAATGCAGCGGAACTTCTTAAGTGATGCGCAAAGTTGCCCAGTCTTCTTCCGTGCTGCATTCAGCTTAAGGATCTAATACCACAAGTTGGTGTCCATTTCTGCTTTACAAAAAAGCATCCATATGGTAAAGACACTGCAACACCATGGTCTTTTAATATATATGACGGTCTTCGAAGTTGAGGTGAGACAAACTGGCAAACGTATCTGCAGGCCGAGGAAGCTTAGAGAAAATTGATATTAGCGATTAGTCGCAAGTGTGCATGTCTAATAAACTAAACAAACAGCAACAATCCGTACACATACAGCAAAGAGGTTCTTTCACGATGGGGCCCCTACGGGTACTGTCGGTGGCCGCTGGGGCCCCTCGGCGAGGTCGCTTGAGCGTGAGCGGAGAGCTCGGTGGTGATGAATCGTAGCGAAAGAAGGGGTTTTATTTCAGAAAGCACAACTCTACCTACTTTGTATCTCTCTGCATTTGTTTCTGAGTATCTTTAGTTGATTCATCTAGTTAACGAAAAACCCTTCTTTCCACCTGGCGCTCGGCTGATTGCCCGCCTCATAGCTTGCTGATCGGCGGGGGCCTCTTCGCTGTTACAGAAGACGCTGAGGAATTTTATTGAACGTTTTAAAGTGTTAATAAAATACTGAATTGTCAACGGATGGGTCTAAAGGGTTCTTCTCGTTGCGGTTTTTATAGTCGCTCTCCCGGCAGAAATCCAGGAGGTGAAGAGCCGCCGCTCCCGCCAAAACGTCCCAATCGAAGTTCAAATAATAACTACGCAAGAAGGGCCCCCAACTCTATGATACAACGGGGCCCCTATCCCTTGGTATTTAAGGAAGCATCGCCTCCTGTTCTTTTCTAAGAGCAAGGATTAGCGGCAGGTACACTTAAGTAACCACTGTCATCTTGTACAGTTGCTTGCCTGCATGCAGACGATAGCAAACATATAAAACAAACATGCATACACAGACAAGAAATACATGCGGTGTACTTTCTGCACGTATTAACCAACCTGATAACACTTTTGCGTCTCCAGTAGGCGACCCCATTATTTTTACTCTAAGACAGTTTGTTTGTAATTTCCTTCCCCTGTCCTAATGGCAGCAGTACACACAAAAGAGGCATACATAGAGCTAGCTCAATACACGCGGTATACTAAGAAGTAAATGCGTCCTTAAGGGATACGATACTCCGTTAAACCCTTGATGAATGCATGCGCATGATGACTATGCATCAAGTTAAGGAGGTTTGTTTCATAACATGTCAAGGATCAATGACTCTTTAGAGCGCAGCAGAAGCTTCTTGCTGCCTCATTCAATCTACTCACAACTAGTGGCTCTAGCCTTTAGGGTCAGGAGCACCGCCTCCTACCTGGCTGCTTATACACCCGCTTGCTGCTAATATATGTATATATTCTGCGCTACGCTAATATGCATGCCTGCGTGCATGCATGCAATGCAGCAGGAGCAGCCGCCGCCGCAAAACAATAGAAGCATAAATATCTAGCTAGACGCCTACCCTATGCATCTGTGGATATATCGATAGACATATGTATTTATGTATATAAAAAGTATAAATATATATATTATAAACTACGTAAATGATCAGGCAGACTGCTTGTGATAGACAGGGAGCACTGTATCACTATTTAAAGGAATTGCGTGTGTAATCCTAGTTATTGTTGTATATATCTCCTCTATGCGTACAAATATAAATACATATATATGTACATATATACTATACTTGTGTTATTGTGTATGTGTATGTGTGTGTTGTGATGAATTTGTATATCTGTCCATTATAACAAAAAATAGACAAAGAAGGAAAAGGGTTTATATACAATATAGAAAAGGCCTCCATAGGCCCGGCTAGCCTACACGCGAGCCACAGGAACAGCAGAGGCGTTAGATCGCCGCCATAAAACGATTCATATAAAACTGCTGCTGCACTCGCAGCAGCACTACGGGCACACAAGATAATAGAGAGAGACGGCAAGATGGGGCTTCATAGACTCATACAAAACCTGTGTACAGCAGCAGGATAAAGAGACATTAACACCCACTATTATCAAGGCCCACTACAGAGCTACATCATCAGCAACAGCGACAGCAGCTGCAGTAGCAGTAGCAGCAACACCTGCACGGGCATCTGTGTGAGTTGCAGATGCTGCTGATGCAAACGCTGCTGCAGCAAAAGCCGCTGCTGCCGAGGCGCACACGCCTACATGCTCAACATGTATGCGTATGCACGCATGCATGCATGCATGCATGCACAGCGATCTATTTCCGCTGCCGCCACAAATATCCTGGTGTTTTAGCCCTGGGTCCTTTTGCTCGTGTGTAGCCTCTTTCTTATCTGCTGCGATAGAGATAGCCACAGCAGAATGAAGGCCCTGTAGAGCTGCAGCAGCATCTGCAGCAACAACAGCAGCAGCAGCTGCTGCTGCAGCGCTTGCCGAGTATATATGCATGTATGCATTTAAACAAAAGGCCTATAATATACATGTCGTCGTACTAATAGTCCTACATTCCTCCTTATAGATGTTCCTCCTCGTCTTTCATTGTTGCTGTCTGCTTGTTAGCACAGCGGATGCCTTCGCCGCTGCTTCAGCCATCAGTGCTGCGCCGCTGTCATCTGGGTCTTTCGCCTGCTGCTGCTGCTGCCGCTGCTGCTGCCGCAGCGCTCCCGATGACGACCCACGACGACTTTCATCTTTCATTCCGGCGCTTTTCATAAGATATTCTGTTTTAGACAGTGTTGGACCGGTACTGCTGCTGTGAGGGCGAGCTGCACCTGCTGTTGTTGTTGCTGTTGTTGTTGTTGCTTTTGGTGCTGTTGTTGCTGCTGTTACAGCTGCTGGTATTCCTCGTGCCGACGTTCCCTCTCCCGGAGCATCCTTTTCTCCTGGTGGCACCTTTGTAGATGCATCAGTAAGCATAGTTGCTGCTTTAGAGGATAATCGAGCTAAGCGTAATAAAGCCTCACTTAACTGACCAGAGGCCTCAGGAACTTCACGCATGATTTGGCTATAAGATGAATGCGTTGTTTTACTTTTTATAATGGTATCTGCAACACCAACAAGAATTCTTCCAAAGATGAAACGATTAAGCCCGCTAGTAAGAGCATTCTCCAAGCCTTGCTCTAATGACACAATAGAGTTCTTTACTGCTTCTTCTGATAATGAAATTGCATGCAAAGACCTATCGACAAGTTTCGTTGTTAGCCGTCCTAAGACCTTCTCGCAGGCTGTCAATCGATCTCGTAATTCCTTAATAAGGGTACGACTCATACGGGAAGATGCTGTGTCGTCTCTTGCGCGACTCCAGGAAGATGTAATACTGTGTCCTTTCTTTATTTGATATCTAAGCTTCTCGATTTGGAGATAACCAATGCTTGTTTCCTGCATAGCGCTCTCCGAACTGCTAATCCATGATGACATATCTTTAAGCCCCCTGCGAGCCAAGTCATCTCCCTCCTTCTCGTGCCTGGAAACACCATGAGTATGGTGGTGCCCTCGTTGGCTCTCAGAGGGTAAAGTCCCTGTTGACCAGAAGTATTCAATTTCCTGCTCAGATGTTGCATCAGAGGATTCCTCGGAATCATCCTGTGAAGGTTCGTGACTGACACCATGATGACGCCAACGCCTTTCACTTGAAACTGCTGGAGATTCTGCTGCAGCAGCAGCACCAAACGATGACAGTTCAACGCTTGTGCTAGTCGATATCTCAGGATAGGACCGCCATAGACGCTTCGTTTGGACAGGAGAAGAACCCCAAGGACTCGCTGTTCCTTGTAGTAAGGTAGGCGTTGATTGACGCGGTCGAGATGTAGCTGAATCAACGGAACGGGAGGAGGCAGTGAATTTTGGTGTTGTTTGAAAGCCTCCTAGGAAATGCTCAGGAAGCCCAGAGGAAGAAGATGAGTCTTCGTCCAGCCAATCAGAAGGAAGAAACAACTCCGCAGATGGTGACCGCTGCCAAGGATGCCCACGATTACCCACAGGACGCCATAGCGGCAAACGAGTTTCAATACCTTCCTCATATGAGGGTCCAGGACGCCAGGCGCGTTTCATCGTCTTAGGAGAGCTCCGCTCTACCAAGACCCCACTTGCCTCCAGTGCACGTATCATCCTCTCCGCCTCTTTCTGCATTTCGTGTGCTCGTGATTGCATGCCTGCTTGGCGCATTTGACTCGCTGTATCTTGCAAATCCAAGAGAAACGTTCTTGCACGGTTGGTAATAGGCGCTGCAATGGCTGCTGCCGCATCGTTACTGTGCACTGGGAGAGAAATGTGTTCGTGCTGCAGACGCTCTAACTCTCTGCGGCAAGAACTGCTCTGAAGCAATAGCTCTGTTGCAAGTAGATCTACACGCAGCTTCCGGTCACTCGTAAGGGTCGTGGGGAGGGTACTAGATGTTCCCAAGACTACTGCTTGCGCTGCAAGTGCCTGGGAGGCTGTTGAGCATATGAAACGACCTGAAGCAAAGATTTCTGCTCTTATAAATAAAGCCATGACTTCTTGCCTCGACGTGTAGCGCTTGTCTTCGAGCTGCTGCTTGATAGTTTCCAGCTCTTTCTCCTCCAATGACATCTCCTGCTCCACCGCCATCAGCTGCGACGCACTACTTGATTCCGTTTCCTCATCATCCACAACTTTGCCACGTTCTTCTTGTTCCCTTTTTATACGCCTCATTCTGTTACTCAGATCGCTGATGCGCGTCTGGAGATAGTCGTATTTCGACATCAACGATCGCATTAAACCCTGCGCTTTTGCTACCGAAGTATGCTCATCCGGAGAAAGATCTTGCGTTTCCGGCCGCGTCAGGACCAACAAATCCAGCTGCTGATGGACAGTGGACTGTATTCCTTGGACATAACCTAGAAGGCCTCCTGAGGCACCGTGGCGTTCCTCCCCACTGCCCAGTACTCCGCTGCTCTCGTCCACCTCCTCAGGAACTTCGGAGCATGTAAACACATCGTCATCTTCGGCCAGTTGACGTGAGGAAGATCCAGAAACCCTCAAAGAAGACTTCCCACGGAGCAGCCCGAAACAACGACGAACAAGGAATACCACCGCTGATATCGAGGCAATGGCCGCGATGAGAAGCAGTACGCGGCTGCGGGGGGGAGACCCTGTAGAGGGAACGTGACCGAAATATGTGGAGGATGCCCTTGCCACATCCCCATATACCTCAAATTCCGGTATTGGAGAGGCAACAGGGCTGACAAAGAATGGCTGCTCAGCCTCTGTAGAGGGGGCGACCGTGGGAGTCCACGGAGAGGCCAGTTCCGCAAGATCTCGCGAAAACTGAGGAGAGGCCGTCATCCGCCTGGTCTTTTTGACGGATGGAAACGGCAGAAAGCGAGAAATGTGTAATCATGTGAGTTAAGAGGCCATCTGGGTGGATGCGGGGAACGGGGAAGAGGGAACCCCTACGGTGATACTCTGACACCAGAATGAGGGGAGAAATACGCTAACTTTGTTTTTTTTATGCATTTAAATTCACAAAGAAAGCGGGAAATGGTATTTTCTCTTCCATTGTCTCCTTTCTTTCCCAAAAACCAAATGCAGGTTCAGCGGTATATCGAGAGGCGGGGGGCTGTCGAATTCATGTTTCCTTAGGGCGGGGGGTGCTCGCCTGTCGTGCGGCTGATTAAATACTGCAAAGCTGCATTAAATGCCAACAATATTATATTTGTCGCCTGTTTATTCAGTATGTTCCCTCGAAACGAAGCCTAAACTCCACACCTACCCCGACTTCCTATGCTTTATTATGTCTGTTTGTAGGGAGAGCCGAGGCTGCTCTGAAACGAAATCCGTTTCTTCCTCCCCTGTTGCATTTCTCCTGTTTAAATTCATATTTGCTTATGAAAATCCGTTTATAGTATCTGCGAGAAGAGGTCAGTCTTCCGTATGTACGCCTACATTTATATATAGCAACCGTCTGCAGAGCCTTACCCCATCGGCTCACAACGTCTGAAGCTCTACATGCAACCCCTCATAGACCTTCTTCTTATGGCATCCTGCTGTTTCCCTCTTTAAATATTTCTTTGTGTGCTTCTTAATCGGGAATTTCCCTTTCCCCTGCTGCCTTTCAACGAGGCCGATGTGCAATGACTTTATTGCGCATTCAACGTTACGCATTGAACATTATGCATTGAGCACGAAGCACTCAATAAACCCAATTAAGCAATATAGGGAACATAAATACGACGTTGACCACAACACATTGAGCATAAGTAACAGATAGAACATAGTTTGTACATTGAACAAGCTTCACAAATACACTTATCTTACCCATTATAGTAGCCAGCATACAGCATTTTCAGCTTAACACCACCCATAGTAAGAATATAATCACAAACTTGTGATGACACTCCAAGGTATTCTCTCTAAAAGACTTCTCCGCTGGAGAAAAAGTCTGAATCGTTGCAACAAAGTCCTGAAAACAAAAGCGTGGGTGCGCATGCGTATCTTTTCGTTCAACTTCTATATCATTCATTCATGTTTAAAAAGTACCTTCATGATTAGCTGTAGTTGGCGCGTGCACTGTGCTTCTGTGCTTTTAAGGGATTCGTTTTCTGCCTTCTACTTCCGTGCGATGCTTGTTATATTGGGATGCTCCTTTGATTCGTCTTCCTGTAGAAGTCTTGGAGTTGCGATTTCGGCGGATTTCTCGTAGCTTTCCAGTTGAAATCAATAGTCAAACTTTCAAAAGTTGGGTCCCGTACTATGTCATGTGAGTGAATAATTGGCAATGGAAATTGGAAAAGTTTGCAGGCAGATGAAAATGCGAAGAGCAAAATGCATTTTTATTGTCATTGTCTCGAAAACAGTCGCCGTTGCATCACCACTTGAGTTGCTTTCGGCTTCCCGAGGAGTTTGCAATGCGGCGAATGCGGGGTGTACAAACAGTCAGTGGTCACCGCATCGCTATGTAGGTGTTGTTCACTTCATTTTTTTTTGCTTCTATTTCCAGTCAGGTACCCTTTGGATCCGATCTACTCAGACGGCCTTCTATACAAACGGCAACGTAATCACTGCATATATCTTGCTAAGCTTCTCCGTCTTGTAAATGGCTAAAAAGCAGTGAAACGCCGATTCAACATGGTGATCAAGTTTCAGAGGGAAGAGAAGCCTAACACTCAACAGAGAAGAAATACAAGAATAAAAACAGGAAAAAGAATATTCAACAAAGGAAGCGAACATGTTGAAGGAACAACAACATGTTGTTGTTGTAGTATGTGTTTCTATACACGGGGCCGCGTATAGAAACTTGTTTCCTCTTCCTTTCCTCTACTTGGTTTCTTTCGTAGAATATCTAGTGGGTTTCTTCAACGAATGATGTGTGAAGAAACACATCATTCGTTGAAGAAACCCACTAGATATTCTACGAAAGAAACCAAGTAGAGGAAAGGAAGTGGAAACAAGTTCCTAGACACGGGACCAAAGATACACTGAAACCTAAAAACTAGTTGGAAGAATAGCCAATCAGAAGTTTATATATTTTAAATAATATTTTTACTTTTTGCAACCCTTCTGTTATTAGGTGAACTTCTACGAAAACATGCCGCACAAGATCGATTGCTTTCTAACCTCATTCACCGCTGCGACTTGCAATTAAGAGAAAAAAAGGCACAAAGGCAGACACATTTAATGCAAATGAACAAAAATGGGAAAGAAATGATGTACAATTGAATCCTCCTCTGGCGTTTTCCATTTGCTGCCTTTTTGTTGGGGAGATTTTTCTCATTTTTAAACAGACGAGGATTCAATTGTACATCATTTCTAGTAGCCATACAATGAGAAGCATACACTCACACCCAGGAGGGCAATTTGCCCATCATGATGATAAAACATCAATTTACAAATATCTCTTAAAGAATAAATGTTCACCATAACTGTTGTTAGTCTAATTGCACCTCTAAGTTATTACGTCAAGAGAGGACGACAGCCATATTATTGAACGAGCTGCGCACTGCTTCCTTATCTATTTTCCTAATAGTTGAAAGAAAAACAAGAGAGAGCGTATGTAAGGAGAAGAAATCCCTGCCAATGAGTACTAATAGCCACTGAACAATATATGCGCCCCTCCCTAGGGGTTGCTCCTGCAGCAGCAGCAACGGCAGCGGGGAGGAGAAAAGGCACTGTTTTCTCTGCCTGATAAGGCGAGATGCAATATTTCAAGTATACATGAACAACAACAACAGCAGCAGCAGTGAGTTTGCTGCTTATGTGCAACAGTGACGGTATGGAAACTTGCGAGGGTATCCACTGTTTCCCTTGCTGACTAGCGAGAGGCTCTCTTTAGTGTTTAGGGTTTACGATTTAGGGTTTAGAGATGGTTCACTCATTGAAACAGTTTATTGTTGGCTTATGTCTCAGGGGCGGCTTCTTCCGTTGGTCGTCGTACAGTGTTGCAAGAAGGCCGTGCTGCAGTTTGTGCAGCTGTACAGCCCATTTTAATGGATCAATTGAACATAATAGGAGAATAAAGGGACAAATATCGAATATAACACAAGAAGAAATACATAAATGCTTTAACTTTGTTGGTTTTAACGTGCCTGGCTGCCGCCGACTGGGGGGCCCAAGCCCCTCCCTGTTCGTCACACCTCCATGGTAGGAGATGGGGGGTGAGTGCGAAGAAGAGGAAAGTACGATAATTAGCCGCATTTATTTCTTTCTTTTAAACCCCTTTTGTGTTGGTGCATGCACAGAAGAGCAGATAAAACCCCCAACTTGAATCGCGCCTGTCTGCCTTGCAGCAGCCCGTCACGACAGCTGCAGCTGCTGCAAAATGGTCGTCACGAGGCAGGGCACCGTCACCTCTGCTGCAGGCCCGCCTGGAGGTGCTGCAGCTGCAGCGGCAGGTGCAGGAGCGGATGCAGCAGCAGCAGCAGCAGCGAAGGGTCGCAGCCCGGTAAAGCCTGCAGCGCAGCAGAGGGCCCCTTCGAAGAAGAAGAGGGGAGGGGGACGTTCACCAGCAGCGCCTAGGACAGCAGCACACAGAGGAGCTGCATCTCCTGGTGGTTCTCCAAGATCTGCAGGAGGAGGAGGAGGAAGCCCTCGTGTGCACATTGCAAGTAGACCTGTGGTGCTTCCATCTCTTAGCACATCATCTTTTAGCAGCAGAAGGTCCCCATCAGATAAACCTCTTATTAGGGGGGGCCCCCTAAAGGAGAGGCAGCAGACGGGGCCCCTACCTTTTGTAAGACAGATGAGTGATATGAGTGATGTGGAGGTACCGACACATGACGATACAGAGGAGAGTCTTGTTGCAGCACCAGCAGCAAGACGAGCAGCATCTACTACTAGGAGACGTAGAGGAGGAGGAGCAGTATCAGGAGGAGGAGCAACAGACGAAGGTGAAATAACAAGACAAACAAGCAGCAGCAGCAGCAGCAGCACAAGCAGCAACAGAAGCAGCAGCAGCCGGCAGTCGCGGCCAGTGCCTCTACTACAGAAGGAGGTATATAACGATCCATCCGTTCTTGGTGGAATTCGTTCACGAAGCCGTATAATAAGCAGCAGCAGCAGCAGCAACAACAACAACAACAACATCCTAGACGGGAGCAGCAGCACATGCAGCAACAGCAGCAGCAGCAACAGTAGTAGCAGCAGCAGCAGTAGCAGCAGCATAAGTAGTAGTAGTACAAGTCGTATATCTGAGGGTAAATTAGGTCAATTATTATTAACATATTTTTGTTATGCTTCCTTATATCTAACTCGTAAACCTTTTGCTTCTTGTAAGAGAGAAATAGAGAAACAATTATCCTTATCTACTGCTGCATTAGGAGGAATAGATACTGTATTCTTATCTGCATATGCAGCCTCTCAGCTCCTATTAGCTCCTTTCTTATTAGGTAGAGCAGCAGCAGCAGCAGCAGCAACAGCAGCAGCAGCAACAGGAGCAGCAGCAACAGGAGCAGGAAAAGGAGGGAAAGGAGGAGGTGGTATATCGTGCAGCAGTATACTAGCAGCAGCTTATTGTATAAGTGCTGCTAGTTGTTTATTAATAAGTATATTACCTAATAATTATCTTAATATTATTTCTTTATCTTTTTTATGGGGTATTAATGGGGCTGCACAAGCCCTTGGATTCCCTCTTATTGTTTCTTCCCTATCTACTTGGCTATCTAATACAGAAAGAGGAGGTGTATTAGGTACGTGCATGCACCACCAACAGCAGCAGCAGCAACAGCAGCAACAGCAAAATATGCACCAATATATGCAGCAAAACCAGCAGCAAAAGAAAAAGCATCATCATCAGCAACAAACCCTGCAACAGTAACAGCAGCAACAACAACAACAACAGCAGCAGTATGGGTATGTGCATGCATGCATGCATGCATGCATGCATGCATAGATATTGTGTGTGTATGTGTATGTTTAGGTGTATGGACAACATGCCAGCAAGTGGGTAGTATATTTGCGAGTTATTTAACAGCACGTTTATTATCTTCTGCTGCTGCTGCTGCTGTTGCTGCTGCTGATGAGGGTTTCTCCTTATGGCAATCATCATCTAATGGTTTGCTGCTGCTGCCTAGATGGAGACAAACATTCTTTGTCCCTTCTTTATGGGTTGCTTGCTGCTCCTTGCTGCTGCTGCGGTGTCTACGCACCGCAACACAAGATCCTACAGCAGCAGCAGCAGCAGCAGGAAGAGCAGTGGAGCGCCAGCCGTCGCAGATGCAGCATCAGCAGGAGGACAAACAGCAGCAGCAGCAAATGCAGCAGCAGCAGCAGCAGCAGCAGGAGAAATCTTTGCTGCTTCGTGTATTGGGTGTTGGACGTTTTCGTCGTTTATGTGCTGCTTATTTCTCTGTTAAACTTGTTCGTTATGCTCTATTATATTGGTTAGCTTATTACCTAGAGCAGCATGCTGCTCTTACTGCAGCAGCAGCAGGTAAGCAGCAACCTTTTTATTCTTCTTATCTATTCTTTATTCTTATTTATTCTTTATTCTTTCTTTTTTCTACAAAAAAACACACAAAATGAGGGTTTAGGGTTTAGGGTTTAGGGTTTAGGGTTTAGGGTTTGATGTCTTGTGTGGTGTCTGTGCAGCATTCTATTGCACATACTTCGATGCGGGTGGAGTCTTTGGATCTGTTGCCTTAGGGTAAGTAACAAGGGTTTAGGGTTTAGGGTTTAGGGTTGCTGTTGTGCATTGGTAGTGTATCTGGGTGGCAGAGATTTTGCTGGTATTATTTTAGGGTTTAGGGTTTAGGGTTTAGGGTTTCTTGTTTGCTGTGAGTTGAGTGAGCAATGTGTGGCATGAGGGTTTTATATATTAGGGTTTAGGGTTTAGGGTTTAGGGTTTAGGGTTTTGTTATCAGGTGGTTCTCTGATAAATATTTACGAGGCCGTCGTGTTGTGCTGCTCTCTCCTCTTTGCTGCATAGCGGGGGTTTCGCTGCTGCTGCTGCACAGCGCGGTGGTGTGGGGCCCCGCAGGGGATCTAGGGTTTGCTGCACAGGCAGCGCTGCTGCTTGCAGGTGCAGCAATAGCAGCACCAGACTCTGTCTTAGGTGCAGCAGCAGCAGCAGATGCATGCGCTGAGGAGGGAGCAGCAAATGATGCTGCATTTGCTGCAGCAGCAGCTTGTAAGAATATAACATACACAACCTACCCATACATACCCGCAAACCCTAAACCCTAACCGCTAAACCCTAAACCCTAAACCCTAGCCACTAAACCCTTAAGGAAAGACAGGACGACGGTGGCAGCACAACTGACACTGCTGCAGCGGCTACCTGAAGGCCTCGTGCATGCTGCTGCTCCTGCTTCTGTGGATAACGTGTTGCTGCTGCTGTCGTGTTACTATTGCTGCTGCTACTGCTGCTGCTGCTGCTGGTGTGCTGCTGCTGCAGGCATTGTTAATGGGTCTGGTAGTGTAGGCTCAATAGTGCAGGGCCTTCTTACCCCAACTCTTCTAGCTGTCTATGGGTAGGAAATAACATAACTATTGCTGCTGCACTTGCTGCTGTTGCTGCTGCACTTGCTGCAGTTGTTGTTGCTGCTGCTGCACCTGCTGCAGCTGCTGTTGCATGTGTTGTTTGCTGCGTTGTTGCTGCAGCTGGGGTGGGGTATTCAACTTCCTTGCAGGGATTTCTTTCTTAGGGGCAGCCTCTCTACTCCCTGGTGCAATAAAAGACTATAAGGTGCGCTATCTGCTGCTGCTGCTGCTGCACTTACTGCTGCTGCTGCTGCTGTTGCTGCTGCAGTTGTTGCTGCTGTAGCTACTGATGCCCCCCGTGTGTCTCCTGTCTTCTTCTCTGTGTACAGTTCCTACGAGCAGCAAAAAAAACTGCATAAAAGGAAACACCTCTGCAACGCATGCAGAGATGCAGCAGCGCAGCGCCACTGCATGCACCTTCCCTCAAAACCCATACCCAAGGGGGCCCTCTTTCCCAATAGGGTCGGGTCCCCCAGGGGGGCCCCGGGGGCCCCTCCGGGACAGGGGGGCCCCCTTTTGCTCATTAGCTTAAAGGCAGCCGCCTCCTTGACCCTCCTCCCTAGTGTTTGTTGAGGTGTATATACACTTTGTGGACTTAGATATATCCTATTACTGGGGAAGAGGGAGGAAGGGCTGCATGCAGCATTTATTTATTTATGCATTTATTTATTTACTTGTTTATTTACTTGTTTATAATAAACTGCTGCAGCGCCGACACACAGGCCCGGCGTATTTGCTCCTTACGCCTGCGGGGCTCCGCTTCTGCAGCAGCCGCTGCTGCAACAGCAACAGCAGCAGCAGCAGAAATGGATGCTGCAGCTGCTGCAGCATTTGCTGCAGATGTCGCTATGCGGGGTCTGTCTGTGGCGTTTGTGGGTCTGTGTATAAAATGTACATTTACTTAACCTAAACAGAGGAGAAAATATCCCCTGTTTATTTATTTAATTAAATATTAATTAAATAAAAAGAAATATAAAAAGATCTGTGCTTATTTATTTTATTTATTATTAATTAAATTAAAAAAATATCCATAAATAAGAAACTGTGGTGCTGCAAGGGGTGGACCACTGGTCAAGCTGCCTCCTTGACCAGTGGTCACAACGAGGGGAAAGAGCCGTTAAAATAATAATAAAATAGAATTTTTAATTTAATTAATAATTTAATTTATAAAATTAAAAAATTTAAACGATTAATTAATGGCCAATGGTCCCTCTCCCCCCTCCTCCTGGCTTGTGCTGCAGTAGGTTGAGGCGGCGGGGGCCCCAGGGGGCCCACTAACTTGTTCATTACACACACTTACTTGTCATTATGAATTTAGGATGGATATTACAACGTTTGGCGTTGTTTGGATCCCTTTTTAGCCGCTGTGCAGCAGTAGCTGCAGCAGCAGGAGCACCACCTCCACCAGTACCACCCTCCCTGCAGCAGCAGCGCTGGCAGCAGCAGCGACAGCAGCAGCAGCAGCGGCGATTTCGTTAGTACATTGACTCCTCCTCTAAAGCCAAGCACAGGGGGGTGTCTGGGGCCCCCCCATGGGTATCACTCCACCAGACACAGCGGTGGGGGGGTCCCCTCCCTTTCCTTGCTGTTATACAGGGGTTAAGACCTTCTTGCGGATACGTCCCCCCTCCCCATTACCCTCTGGGTCCCCTAGGGGCCCTGGCTGCCTGGCATTGTGGTCCCCATACCCTGTGCCCCTCCCACAGCATTCGCGGGGGCCCCCAGTGGAGGCCCGCATTGGAGGGCCCCGCGCAGGGGGGCCCCCAAGGAAGCCTTTACTGACTATTGAAGCCCCTGAAACAAAAGAATCTATTGAGGGTACAGCAACACATATAGGGGTATTGGGGCCCTCCTTAACACCTGCTGCTGCTTGCACTGATAAGCAGCAGCAGCCGCAGCAGCAGCAGAAGCAGCAACAACAGCAGCAACAGCAGCAGCAGCAACAACAGGGCTTCAAGGGTCTCCATTCTCTCGCCTCTGGAAGAAGCAGGGCCCATACCTCCTCAATAGAGCAGACAAATGGGGGCCCCTCCCTTAAAGATAATTCCCCTTTATCCCCCCTCACGAAGGAGGCCCCCCGAGAAGCACGAGCCGCTGCAGTTGTGCTGCTGCCCCCCGCGGTACCCCATCGGGGGCCAACAGGGGCCCCTGGGGGGCCCCACTCCTTTACTGCAGAGCAGTTAGCCAAGACAGGTGTTAGAAGGGGTGGGGCCTCCCTCTCAGATACTAGAATGCCGTGGTGCCGCCGTACCCTCAAATTGCAGCAGCGCCTCCCTAACAATCAGGGGCCCCTAGGGGCCCCCAACGAGGCAGCAGCGAGGGGGCAGCAACAGAGACCTTTCGGGGGCCCCCTTGGAGGACTTCCTGAGGGGGCCCCCGAAGGGCCCCCTCCATATTCTTGCGGGGCCGCTTGGAGGGGAAAGGGGGGTGTGGGGCCCTTTAGGTTCTGTGGTGTGCTGCAGGAGGATTCTTCACAAGAGTTGCTGTTTAATACAGTAGGGAGGCCTGCAGCAGCAGCAGTGCTTAATGGCGTCAGCGCATGCATTGCCGTGTAAGCTAGGGTTTAGGGTTTAGGGTTTAGGGTTTAGGGTCAAGGGTGCCTTATGGCCTGCTGCCTGCGGGTGTTCTGCGGTAGACATGGGGCCTCGGGAAGCGGAAAGACATACACCATGGTGGGGCCTCCAGGATTCCTGACACACAGGCGCAGCAGCAGCAACAACAACAACCGTAGCAGCAACAGCAGCAGCAGCAGCAGTAGCGACAGCAGCAGCAGCAGCAGCAGCGACAGCAGCAAGGAGAAGTGGGGTCTTGCTTTGCGCACCTTGGAGTTTGTAATGGAGGAATTAAAAGATCGGGGTGTACAGGGGGCCCCCTTTAGCAGGTAACTTTTTGCTGCTACCCTCTCCCCTCTGGGGGCCCCCCTTTATCTTTCTGTGTTTGTTTGCTGCTGCAGTGGGGGCCTCATTCCCCTTTTTCTTTCTTTGTGTGCTGCTGCTGCTGCGCTGCAGCAGCACTCATGTATTTGTCTCCTTTGCAGCTGTAGAGATCTACTGCGGGAAGGTCCGTAGTCTCTTGGGGCCCCAAGGGGGCCCCCCTGAAGATGCTGCACCAAAAGCACAGGTAACATACTCAACCCAAGACTAGGGGCCCACCAACCTCAGCAAAGGGGGCCCCCATTTCTTACGGGGTAAGGGAGTGTCCCTATCTTCTCCTGGGGGCCCCTGTGGCACCTTCTTAAGTACTTGAGTTCTGCTGCGGGGTGTCTGCAGCAGACAGCTGAGAAGCAGCAGCAGCAGCGGGGGGGGCCCAACAGTATGCAGGGGTTCCTTGGGGCCCCAGGGGTCCCTGGGGCCCCTGGATGCTTTTGGGTACGGGTAGGGTCCTCAAACGAAGCAGTTGCTGCTGCAGCAAAAGCTCTAAGCAGAAGAGTCTGCAGGCAAACGCATGCAAACAGCAGCAGCAGCCGCAGCCACGTGCTCCTGTGCCTGTCTCTTTCGTACCCAGTGAGGCCCATGCCGTCACCTTGCTGCTGCTGCTGCCGCTGCTGCTAGGCCCCCTGCAACAGTACCCAACGGGCCCCTCATCAGGGCCCTCACAACTTCGTCTTGCAGGAGTGCACCTGCTGCTGCTGCTATTGGTGCTGTTGCTGCTGCTGCTGCTGCACAGGAAGCAAACAAGAAAGGTCCCCGTCTCTATCTATTGGACCTCGCGGGTGCCGAGCGGCAGCCTATGGAGAGATGGGGGCCCACCGTTGGGGGGGCCCCACTGAACCCTCATGTAAAGGAGCAGACAAGGAGCCTCTTTGCTCAAGAGGTACACCATGCCTCCCCACAAACAAAGCCACAGCGTCTTACGGGGGCCCCTTGGGGGCCCTCATGGGGGCCCCTTAGGTGACCCGTCCTCTACTGTCTCCTTGTGTCTCCTTGTTAGTGTCTCCTCAGGCTTCTTCTATAAGCAAAAGTCTTTCTTCCTTTATGGCCGTCTTAACTGCCCTCGCTACACACTGCACTGCTGCAACACAGCAAAGTAGGGCTCAGGAGCCCCCTAAGCGGAGCCCCCCTTTGAGGGGCCCCCAAGGGGGCCCCTCCCTCTCGCTTATACTCCACGGTGGGCCGCCATCGAGGAGACCAGAGAGTACCCACTTAACAGGGGCCCCTACCAAGGAGACAGCCCCTGTAGAGGGGCTCCCAAGACAAACAAATGGCAGCAGCAAAACTTCTGCTGCAGTAATGAAGGGTACCACGTGCAGCAGCGTTGGGGCCCCCAGGGGCAACATAGGGGCCCCCAGGGGCCCCCATGTGCGCTTTAGAGAGTCTTGCCTAACAGTAGCCCTCAAAGATGTCTTGGTGCGTAACCAGAGCAACAGCAGCGGCCGCTGTTTCTGCTGCAGCTGCTGTTGCTGCTGCTTTTGCTGCTGCTCGTGTAATTGCTCCTTGTATTGCTGCAGCTCATGTTACTGCTGCATAGGTTGTTGCGGCTGTCTTAGGTACAACTATCTCTGCTGCTGCGTTTGCTGCTTTTGTGTCTGCTGCTGCGTGTGCTGCTACAGGATGGTTGCGGCCACGTCTCTTTGGTGTTCACTGTTAGCAGCAAGGAGGCAGATAGGGGCCCCACCCTGCAGACCCTTCGTTTTGCTGCTCTCGCTAGCCGCTTGAGGTGCGAAGAGCGGCCCCCCAGGGGCCTCTGGCTGGTGCAGGGGCCCCCTCAACACTACAGCAGCAGAAAAGCAGCAGCAGCAGCAGCAGCGAGGCACCTAGAATCTGTATTGCGGTTTTTCGTGTGTCTCTGCATGCAGGCCCTTTTTTCTTGGAAAACGCCGCAGCAGCCTCATCAGCAGCAGCAGCGGCAGCAGCAGGAGGGCCTCTGTAGCAGCAGCAAACCACGGAGCAGCGGCAGCAACACCAAATGCAGCAGCAAAACACAATGCAGTAGCAAAACAAACTGCAGCAGCAAAAGTTACCCACTGTGCGGCAGCATCAGCATCAGCAGCAACAGCAAAGCCGCGCGCTGCAGCAGAAGTACGGCGACCAGCAACAGCTGCCAAAAGCACAGCAGCAGCAGCAGCAGCAACAGAAGAAAGCCGAACAGCGCATGCAGAACGCAAGGCAGTGCTCCCCCCCGTCAGATTGAAGATCGTCAGAGCCACAGCAGCAACAACAGCAGCAGCAGTAGCAACAGCAGCAGCAGGAGCAAGGAGAAGATCTACAATAAAGACCGGGGGCCCCCCTCCTTCTGCTTCCTTAAACTTCGTTTGCCTTAGTCGTGATACAGCAGGGGGGCCCCCTATGCGAAAGACAGAAGACGATGATCTTGTTAAGGGAGGCCCCCATAATCACAACGGCCAAACGAACCCCTGGGGGCCCCTGGGAGTCACCTGGGGGGCCCCCGTAGGGGCCCCCTTAGGGCCCCCGTTGGGTCCCCTCCATGGCCGCTCGAGGGGCCCCCAGGAGAAGTTTAGTAAGGCTAACGGTATTATGAATGGGGCCTCTCAGAATGAGAAGAAAGAAGCAGTAAATGCTGCTGCTGCTGCTGCTGCTACTACTACTCCTGCTGCAGCCGGTGCTGCTACAGCTGGTGCTGCTGCAGGTGGTGCTGCTGCTACCGCCGCCGCTGATGGTATTGTAGGACACCACCGACAAGACGGGCCCCTCATGCATGCTGCGGGGGGCCCCCGAAGGTGCCACTCGGAGCCGAGAGGCCTACATAGGCAGCAAAAGGAAATCTGTTGCTGCTCCTGCTGCTGCTGCAGCTGCAGCAAGAAGTTTGTTACTCGGGATACCGACAAAAAGGACCAACTGGCAGCAGCAGCAACAGCAGCAACAACAGCAGCAGCAACGGCTACAGCAGCAACAGAAGCAGCAGCAACGGATGCTGCTGTTGCGGGGGCGACAACAAGCGAAATGCCCTTCTCTTGCGCAAGGGTTTCCTTTCCTCTGAACCCTAAACCCTAAACCCTAAACCGTAAATTGTAAACCCTCAACCCTAAACCCTAAACCCTAAACCCTAGGCCTTTGGCCCCTTCCTTGTAATAGGAAGATTAGTTATAGTCATTAGGTCTACGGATTCAAATTTAGGTTATTGAGGAACAAGTCCCCACTGTTAAATTGTTGGGGCCCCTAGAGGGCCCCTTACTAAAGTGTTGGGGGCCCCCGCTGGGGAGGCCGGGGCCCCAACATCCCCTGGTGGTATGTGTGCTGCCTGAGTCTGCAGCAGTAGCTGCAGCTGCAGCTGCTGCTGCAGCAGACTCAGGCGGTTCCCATCAGACGAGACTGCCTGCAAAATAACAACAACAACAGCAGCAGCAGAAGCAGATTCAGCACAGCAGCAGCAGCAGCAGCAACAACAACAACAACAACCACAGCCCGTGAGGATCGCTAGAAACAGCAAGGCGAGTAGTAGCAGCAGCAACAACAGCAGCAGCTGATTAGCATGGAGAACAGCAGCAGCAGCAAAGGGTTTAGGGTTTATTAGGGTTTATGAGGGTTTACCTTTCATGCTGCTGCTGCCGCTGCTGCCGCTGCTGCCGCAGCAGCACAAGCCCTGCTGCTGCTGCTACCAGCAGCCATGCAAGAGCAAACAGAAAAAACCCTTGGGGGTTATCAGCAGCAGCAGCAGCAGACAATGCAGTTGTTGTTGTTGTTGCTGCTGCTGCTCCTTGCGGTGCTTCCAGGGCTGCTGCTGGGGTCAACTCCACATTGGGAACTGCTGTTGTAGGCGCTGCTGCTGCTGTTGTTGTTATTGCTGCTGCTGCTGCTTCTGCTGCTTCTGCTGCTGTTGGTGGCGCTGCAGCTGCTGGTATGGAAGGGTATTCGGCCATTAGTTCTTCGGCCGTTGTCGTTGTTGCCGCTGCTACTGGCGCTGCTGCTGCTAATGCTGCTGTTGGCGCTGCTGCTGCTAACCCTTCAGCCCCTGCAGCGGGGGGGCCCTGCAGCTGCTCCCCCATGGGAGTCTTGGGGGGCCCTGGGCTGTCGCAGCAACCCCAGGGTTGTTAGAGATGCAGCAGCAGTTGCGGCTGTTGTTGTTGCTGCTGCCGACGTTGCTGCAGCCGCTAGTGCTGCTGTTGCTGTTGTTGCTGCAGTTGATGCTGCTTACCTTGCACAAGTGTACGTATTAAAGACAAATTCCTTAAAAGATAAAATGAGGGGTAATGGTCTGCTGCTGTGCTGCTGCAGCAACAGCAGCAGCTCCAACAAAGACAGGGGGCCCCCTGGGGCCCCCAAGCCTGCGGCAAAAGAGGACGAAAGAAGGTTGATTGGCCTTAACAATTGTGTTGCATGCAAGTATTTAATTTAGTGTTTATATTTTCTTATGGATTCGCTGCTGCTGTCATTGTTTCTTTAGCTGTATCTGCTGCTGCTCCTGCTGCTGCTGCAGCGGCATGCTCGGGAGCAGCAGCAGCAACTCCGATGCCCCCTCTGGCGCTGTGGGCTGAGCTGTTGCAACAGCAGCAGCAGCAACAGCAGCAGCAGCAGCTTCTTTTTTTTAATGCATATTTCCTTTGTCTATGAGGGTAGAAATCTTGCTGCTGCTGCTGTCCTCCTTATTGGGCTGTATACGCAGCTCTACGTCTCCCTTTCCCTTTGCTGCAGCAAAGTCTTGCTGCTTGCTACAGCAGCAGCAGCCCCCGGGGCCTTTAGTACGACAGCTTAGCGAAAGGAGGACCCTCAGCATCAGCAGCAGCAGCAACAGCAGCAGCAGCAGCTGGGGCGGAGAGCAGCGGATGCGCAGGGGGCCCCTCATCTCTTTCTTGTCTCCTAGTTTTAGGTTATCAAGTCAGCAGCAGAGGGTACTTACAGTAACACCACCACTGTTACCTGCAGCAGCAGCAGCAACAACAGCAACAGCAGCAGCAACAGCAGCAGCAGCAGCAGCAGTTGCATCCCCTATTATTGGGCGGCATAATCATTTGTGGTGTCGTTTGTTGCATCTAAAAATGGCGGTAGCTGAGGCAAACAACGAAGCACCGCCAACTGCTGCTGCTGCAGCAGCAGCAGCAGCAGCAGCAGATGAGCCAGCTGCAACAGCAGCAGAAGCAGCAGCAGCAGCACCAAATTCAACAGAACAATGCATGGGTACGGAGACTGATTCAGGTGTACGTACACGAACTCCTGAGGAGGCGCTAGCAGATGCAGTAGCAGCAGCAGCAGAAGCATCAGCAGCAGCAGCAGCACAAGTAGCAGCAGATGAGGCAGCAGCAGAAGAAGAAAAAGCAGCAGCAGCAGCAGCAGTTGCTGCAGGATTAACACTAACATTAACACCAAAAGAAGAACAACTTTTCTCTCTTCTTAATAGATGTGTAGAGGAAAATAAATTAAATGTTGGTACGTTATCTGCTGCTGTTGCTGCTTCTGCTGCTGCTGCTGTTGTTGTTGTTGTTGTTGTTGTTGCAATTGCTGCTGCTGCAATTGTTGCTGCTGCAGTTGCTGCTGTTGCAGTTGCTGTTAACATGTGCTGTTTGCTGTAAATGTGTGTTTCTGCAATCTGTGCTGCTTTTATCCCTGCTGCTAATCTCCCTTATGCTGCTCCTGTTGCTGCTGTTGCTGTTGTTGCTGCTGCTGCTGCTGCTGCTGCTGCTGCTGCTGCTGCTGCTGCAGAGCTGCGAGCAGCAGGAGGCTGGGTCCGCGATAAGTTGTTAGGAATTCCATCAACAGACATCGACATCGCCATCAATCATCTTACAGGAGCTCAATTCGCTGATGTACTCGTCAAGTATGCTGCTGCTGCTGCTGCTGCTGCTGCTGCTGTTGCTGCTGCTGTTGTTGCCGCTGCTGTTGTTGGTGTTTCTGCTGGTGTTGCTATGTGCCCCTTAGGCATTTTTGTATGTCTTAATTCATGTTATACATATACATATACATATACATATACATATACATATACATATACATATACATATACATATACATATACATATACATATGCATATACATATACATATACATATACATATACATATACATATGTACATATACATATACATATGTACATATACATATACATATACATATACATATACATATGTACATATACATATACATATGTACATATACATATACATATGTACATATACATATACATATACGTATACGTTTTTCGTAAATATGTACAGATGGTTGGAGGTGATAGGAGAAGGACGTCGTAAAGTTGGCATAATACAACAAAATATTGAGCAAAGTAAACATTTAGAGACAGCAACGATGAATATTAAATCCTTCTCTATTGATTTTGTACATCTTAGGCAAGAAACTTATGCGGATACCACCAGCAGCACCAGCAGCAGCAGCAGCAGCAGCAGCAGCAGCAGCAGCAACACTAGCAGTAATGATACCAGCAACAGCAATAATGGGGGCAACAACAGCACCAATGATAACAACAGCAACAACAACAGCACTAGCACCAGCAGCACGAGCAGCAGCAACAGCAGCAGCAGCACGAACAGCAGCAGCAGCAGCAGCAGCAGCAGCAGCAGCAGGAGGAAGGGTAACCGTATACCTGTAAGTACGTGGTTTGGTACTCCCCTACAGGATTCACAAAGGAGAGACTTTTGCTGCAATTGTTTGTTTTATAACATAAAAAAGAATAAAATAGAGGATTATACAAAAAAAGGAATAATAGATGTATATAATTGTCTCCTTACTGCAGCAGCAGCAGCAGCAAATTATACACTACAAGAAGATCCATTAAGATTATTAAGAGCTATAAGATTTGCTGCTGCACTCAATTTTTCCTTAGAACCTACTCTTGCTGCTGCTGCTGCTGATGCTGCTGTGCATGCAGCACTGCAGCACAAAGTATCCAGGGAAAGAATAGGTATAGAGATAAAAAAAATATTCTCTATACATAGTATAACTATTAATCAGCCTCCTGCTGCTGCTGCTGCAGATGCAGCAACTGCAGCAACACTGCTAGCAGCAAGAGCAGCAGAACGAGCACAAACACAAGCAGCAGAAACAGCAGCAACAACACAAACTGCAGCAGAAGCCTCACCTCCTTCAGATACAGCAGCAACAGCAACAGCAGCAGGAAGTGTTGCTGCTGAGAGTCAGGAGCAGCAGCAGCAGAAGCTGCTAAAGGGGCCCCTATCTGGTGCATTAAGGGGTATGCTGCTGCTGCTGCAGCTGCGTGTATGGGAGATAATAGTGTTACCCCTTGGTTACGAGGTGTATAGACACCCTGTTGCTGCTGCTGCTGCAGCAACAGCAGCAGGTAAATCAAAAACAAAGGCAAGAGAAATTGCAGCCATGGTAAGGAAGGAGCAGCAGCAAATCGATGCAGCAGCAGCAGCAAGGGTGTGGGGCCCCCTTGGTGCATGCGCTGTTGTTGCTCTAAGACATCTACTTGCAAGAAGACCGTTGCTGCAGAAGCTGCAGCAGCAGCAGCATCAGCAGCAGCAGCACTCTGCGGATGACGCAGCAGCAGCAGCAGCAGCAGCATCAGAGGAGATGACAGCATTATACGAGGGTTTATCCAGAGGAGTAGAGCTAAAGGAAGGAGACAGTGTGCTGCGTCTGTTGCTGTTTGCTGCTGTGCTGCACCCCTGTAAGGATCTCCTTGCTGTTGTTTCTGCTGCTGCTGCTGCTGCTGCTCCTGGTCCTCCTGTAAGGCGTATGGCGGAGGCAGTTATTGCTGCATCATGGAGGCTGCCCTATGCTGAAGCAGCAGCAGCAGATAATCTAATTATGCATGCGCAGAGGTTACGGGAAGTAGCAGACGAGGAAGCAGCTCTCCAGCAGCAGCAGCAGCAGCAACAACAGCAGCAGCAGCAGCAGCAGCAGGAGAAACGGGTAAAATTAGGGTTATTAATAAAGGAAGTAGGGCCTAATTGGAGGGAAGCAATTCTATTAGCAGCAGCAAAAGTCTTAGGAGATTTAATATATGATGATGCAGCAGCAGCAGTTGCTGCAGCGCATGCAGCTGTTACTGCGGGGCCCAACACAGCAGCAGCAGCAGCAGACGAAGAAGAGCAGCAAATGCATAAGAAGAGGAGTAATAACGGGGGGGAGGCAAAAGAACAAAAGAAGATGTGTGTATTAAATACTGCAGCAGAGCGTCCTGTTGCTGCTGCTGCTGCAGAAGCATCAGAAGGTCCTGCTGCTGCTGCTGCTGCTGCTGCTTCTGCAGCAGCACCAGAGGTATCTATACCCCATTTAGATTGTCTCCTTCTATCTAAGGAGGAGACAGCAAAGGAGACACTTCGTCATCTCTTACTATTAAAGGAGACAATAGAGACACTGCAGCTACAGGATGCATGGCGCATGCAGCCCCTCTGCAACGGGAAACAGGTCTGCTGCTGCTGCTGCTGCTGCTGTTGCTGTTGCTGTTGCTGTTGCTGTTGCTGTTGCTGCTGGTGTGGGGGATAAGGCCTCGTGTGCTGTAGCTGAGTGCCGTGCTGCTGCTTCTTCTGCTGCCATCGGGTGACTGCGGCTGTGCCCCTGTCGCTGCTGCTGTTACGGCTGCTGCTGTTGCTGCTGCTGCTGCTGCTGCTGCATGCAGGTTCGTGAAGCAGTCGGAGCAATATCGGGTCCGGCTGTTGGAGAGTTAATGCAGAAGCAGGTTCGTTTCTTTTTCTTTTTATCTAAACCCTAAACACAATAAAAAGGAAAAAGAGGGTTTTCTAGGGTTTAGGGTTTAGGGTTTAGGGTTTAGGGTTTAGGGTTTGGGTGCTGTTGTGGGGTCTGCAGTTTGTATGGCAATTAGCCAACCCGGGGAAGACAGCGGAAGAATATTTAGAGTATTTAAAGTCATCATATAAACCCTCATCAGCAGGGAAGAAAGAATCAAGGGTTTAGGGTTTAGGGTTTAGGGTTTAGGGTTTAGGCCTGTTAAGGAGAAGTTTATAGAGGGGTTCCTTATAATGCTATACACCCCTTTATTCCTTTGATAAACCGCCCTTCCATGCACGGCTAGGGTTTAGGGTTTAGGGTTTAGGGTTTAGGGTCTACTGCTAAGCGCAGACGTTAGGTTTCTCCTAGAGGCGTTGGGCAAATGACGGAAACCCTAAACCCTAAACCCTTTTTTTAAACCCTCAATTCTTTTGCTAAACTCTAAGTTGTGACTCGTGCTGCGGAAGCTGCTGCTGCTGCTGCTGCTGCTGCTACAGAGCCACAAGAGCAGTACATAACCGCTGCTGCTGTAGCTTCTGCATCTGCTGCTACAGCTGCTGCAGCTGCTGCTGTGTTGTGTTTCTTTAGGGGCCCCTCTCTTTGTCAGTTACAATAGCCAAGCATTGGGGGGCCCCCTTCCTATAGAATTAGAGGGTACTACTTTTGTTGTCTCTAATATACTTACATCAATTAAAACTCCTAGCTGCCTATACGCCGCAGATAATATAATTGGCCTCCTAGCTGCCAATACACCCCAGATATTAAGGAAGGAGCCCATGAGGGTATCTCCGGTGTATAGGCAGCATAGGTCTTTTCTGCATAGGGTTTTTACGTATTATATAGGGGGTAGCAGTTTTATATTACATTACGTATATTATTATTTTATTATTATCTTATTAGAATTATTTTATACTATGCATGCATTTTACATTTTATATTATAAAACAAATGCCCTTAATTATAGAGAAGAAGAAAGAAGAATGGTTTAGGGGGGCCCCTCCGACAGGACATGGCAGGGGGGCCCCTGGGGCCCCCATAAGGGTTTTTATTACTCTTTGCGTGGGAAATATCCCTTTTTGTTGTATTTTAATCAATTATTATTTATTTATATTCTTAATAAAGATAAATTTTCCTTCTTTGCTCCTTGAGGAAGGAAGATCTTGTATACAGACACCCGGCAGCAGAAAGGGGGCCCCTTGATGAGGGGCCCCCCACGGTGTTTCGTATTCTCTCGTCTTCTTCCTCGATGCTGGGCCCTTCCTTTTCTTTTGTTTAATAGCAACCTTCCTGGGGGGCCCTAATAGGTTTATAGCAATAGGGGGGTTCCACCATGCCTCTTTTCCCTGCCTGGAGAGGGGGGGCCCCCAGTTCCCTTGGGGGGGGCCCTCTCGGTCCCCTGCGTCACGCTATAGCTGCTGTGGGCCCCCTGCGCTATATAAGTACACGGTCAAAGGGGCCCCAGGGATCCAAGGGGCCCCGCGGTGCCCATGGGGACCGCTCGACCTCCCGTGGGGGCCCCCGGGGCCCCCACGGGAGGTCGAGCGGACGGGAGGTCGGTGGGGGCCCCCGCGGCAGCAGGGAGCCTAAGCTGAAGGCAGGTGGTGGAATTGGTTTAGGGGGGCCCCCCACTGAAGGTCTTTGGGGGTCCTCTGGGGGCCCCCCTGCTCACATGCGCTTCCCCCGTCCTGATCTTGATTTAGCTGCTCTTAAGAAGGAGCAGCAGATGGCAGAGAGGGCCCCCCATTGGTTATTAGTTACATCAGAGGAAAGGGGCCCCGAGGGTACCCGCTGCAAGCGAATGGTACTGGGCGAAGGGACCAACGTGGACCCCTTGGATACCTCGGACCCGCAGATGCAACAGCAGCCGCAGGAGCAGCAGCAGCAGCAGCAGCAGCAGCAGGGAGGATGGGGCCCCCCCACGGGGCCCTCGGACTCTACTGTACCCTCTTTTTTCTCTGATGGTACATCTGATTGGCGTTATGAGATAACAGAAGAATTCGATGCCGATTGGGCATGGCTATCTGGGGGCCCCTGGGCAGCAGATGCGAGGGGCCCCCTGGGGGCCCCATCTCCGGGTGAGGGGCCCCATGGGGGGCCCCACCAACAGGGGTATGATGCCGTAAAGGACAGACTACAAGATAAAAGACTTAAGGTGTATGTACAGGGTATTAATATTACTAAGCCAATTGCTATCCTTAATAGGCATCAGGTGCTGCAGACACTGCAGCACCCACATGTAGCTATGGGTATTTCTAGGGGTACTCAAGGTGAGGGTGGGCCCCCGGGGGGCCCCAAAGGAGGTGGGGGGCCCCAGGGGGGGCCCCAAGGGTACAGACAGAGTACCCCTTTGACGACAACTTTATGCCCAGAGGCATATGAGGCCCTCATAGAAAGAACAAAGAGGATATTACCATCCTTTAAGGAGCGGCAGCAGGTGCTGCTGCTGCTGCAGCTGCTGCTGCAGCACACCCGCGCACTGCAGCAGCAGCATCGTCGTTACCTTCAGGAACAACGCGCCTTGCTGATCCAGGCGAACGCCGCAGCAACAGCAGTAACAGCAGCAGCAGGCGAGCAACAAGAGCAGCAGCAGCAACACCACCACCATCAGCAGCTCCTTTTGGAGCAAGCAGCAGCAGCAGCTGCTGCTGCTGCTGAAGCAGCAAGAAGCTTGAGGGCACTGCAGCAGCAGCAGCTATATGAACTCTTATTTGATGCAACTCTCCCTCATATGCCTGTAAGACAAATGATGACAGGGTTTAGGGTTTAGTGTTTAGGGTTTAGGGTTTAGGCTTTAGGGTTAAGGGTTTAGGGTTTGAGGGTTTGTGTGCGTGCAGCATATGCCGCTAGAGGAGCTCGGCAATCTCTCGAGGGTTTTCGCCTACTGTGCTCCAACGTACGTTAGGGAATACTCGAGGGTTTAGGGTTTAGGGTTTAGGGTTTGAAGCTGTTTTCAAGCACACGGGGGAAGTAAAACTCAAACCCTCTTGGGGGGCCCCCTATAGGGGCCCCCATGCTGATTCAGGGGCCCTTGCTGAGTGCTAACCTGCTGCTGTGCTGCTGCTGCTGCTGTTGCTGGTTTTGCAGGAAAGGTTTGGGGATGTTGCAGGTGGTGGCGTTGCATGCATTTGACAGGAGTTGTTCTTCGCTGTGGGGCCCCCCACCTGCAGCAGCAGCAGCATCAGCCGCTACTGGTGCTGCTGCTGCTGCTGCTGACGGGGGCCCCCAAGAGAACGGCCTTCTTTGGGGTGTGCTACAGGTTCTTCAACCCTTTGCATTGGGTCTGCAGCGGCAGGGGGCCCTAGGGGCCCCCATGCAGCACAGTAGGGCACAGATTGGTGGGCCCCCAGAGGCTCTTCCGGAGATTGGGGGGCCCCTTGCTGCAGTGGAGGGGGGCCCCCAAGAGACAGGAGGAGGTCTTGGCTGTGCCTCTAGGCGGCTGATAGATATTGTTGTTAGCGAAAGAGGGGTTTCTGAGGTGAGGGGCCCCCCTGCGCTAAACCCTAAACCCTAAACCCTAAACCCTAAACCCTAGGCTAAATACACCCACACAACCACTCTTGACGCAGCACTAGTAACTGTCCTCTTCTTTCTGTGTTTTAGATATGCTGCTGGTGCATTTGCTGCTGCTGCATTTGGTGCTGCTGCTGCTTGTGCTGCTGCAGTTTTCCTCCCTGTCAAGAGGCTCGCTGCTGCAGCTTCTCCTTTGCTGCTGCTGCGTGGGGTCGGGGGCCTCTGTTGCTCCCATGACAGCAGCAAAGCAGTGCCTTAATCTCCTCTTCAGGGGCCCCCAGGGGCCCCTGGACCCCGAGTTTTCCCTTGATGAGGCCCTGTGGGTACTGATCAGCTGCGCCTATCGAGAGTCCCGCGGGGGGCCCCCTGCATGGCTGCTGCCTCTATTTATGGAGATGTGGGGGCCCTCATCTTCTCCTGCTGCACCTGCTGCTTCTGCTGCACTGCTGCAGCAGAGCCCTGATGCCCTCCTTGGTCCTGCTGTTGCTGAAGAAGAGACAGGGGCTGTGCGCTGCTCCCCTCCATTGGGGGCCCCAGGGGGCCCCCTCTTGACCCTACAGCAGTTGCAAAGCCTCCTCCAAGTTATACAGGAATCTCTTCTTCCTGAGGGTTCCCTTGGGGCCCCCACGGAGAAGCAGCAGCAGCCGCCACTGCCGCAGCCGCTGCGGCTTCTGCCTGGGTCAGCAGGGCCCTCCCCGGACGGGGGCCCCCCCAACTTTGCAGGCCTTGACTCATGGATGATTGAACTAAATGTATGTCAAAGAGGGGGCCCCCAGGGGGCCCCCACCGTCACTAGGGCCTTTGACTACCTTGAAGACCCGGGGGCCCCCAAGTATAATATGCAGACAATAAGGGTACCTGCAGTGGGGGCCCTTGCTGCTGTAGAGGCTCTGGGGTGGTCTCTTTCGCAGCTGCTGCAGCACCAGCAGCAGCAACAACAGCAGCAAGACCACCAGCAGCAGAAGCAACAGCATTTATTGCAGGAAAGTATTAAGAGGGCCCATGATCTGCTGCTCTCTATCTTATATAAGTTGTCAGAGGCAGCAGCAAATCGTACCCTTTCTATCTCTGCCCTTCTCCAGGGGGCCCACATCTTAGCAGATGCAGCAGAGCACTTCAAGGGGGGCCTCTCAGCGGGGGCCTCCCCTGGGGGCCCCCAAGCTTCTGCATTGCAGCAGGAGTTCGAAGCGCAGTCTGCATTGGTGGAGCTGCAAGCAGCATGCGGCCGTTTGCTGCTTGCTGCAGGCAACGTGATGCAGGGAGGAGCCCCTCAGGGGGCCCCCCTTGAGAGTCTAATTAGCTCTGTTTGCTGCTGTGTTGTTCGTTTCCTTGAGGGGTGCCATGTAGGGGGGGCCCCTCGGAGCACAGTAGCAGCAACAGAAGCACGAACAGCAGTACCTGCTGCAGCAGCTCATGCTGATGCTGCTGCTGCGCTAGCCACAGGCGCAGCACAGTGTCTGCAGGGCCTCCGCCTGCTCCTTGGGGGGCCCCCCTCATCTACATTAGACCCTGTAAGTCTTCTTGGTGTATCTATTGGGTGCCTGCAGCAGCAATTAGGGGGCCCCCCTCATATCAAGGGGGCCCCCTCGTGTGTGGGCCTCTTGCTGGGGCGTTGGGTAGGTTGCTACTGCTGCAACTGCTGTTGCTGTTGCTGCTGTCGTTGCTGCTCCTGCTGCTGCAGGTAGACCGTCTTGGGGGCCTCTCCTTAAGGACACAGGCTGAGTGGCTGGGGGCCCTGGGGACCTTGATGCAGCGTGAGTCTGTAGAGAGTACTGTTCTTTGCTGCAGCACCAGCAGCAGCAGACGGAGGGAAGGAATGGGTTTAAGCTGCTGCTGCTGCTGTTGCTGCTGCTGCTGCTGGGGTTCCCCCTTATAAGACTGCTGCTGTGCTGCTGGCTGTCTATTATGTGCTGCAGGGGCCCCCGTCTTAAACAAACAACAAGCTGCAGGGCCCACAGGGGCACTCGGGGTAAGCAGACAGATTACCCTGCTGCTGCTGCTGCTGCTGCTGCATATGTTGCTGTTACTGCTGCTTCTCCAGCACTTGCTGCTGTTATTGCCACTGCTGTATTTGTTACATTTGCTGTTGTTGCTGCATTTGCTACTGCTTCTGCTGCTACATTTGCTGCTGCTGCTGCTGCTGCTGCTGCATTTGCTGCAGATATATGAGGAAGCTGCAGCTACTGCTCTGTCTGCGGGTAAGTGTTTGGCACAAAGAAAGGAAATAATTCTATTCCCTAAAGGACTCCAGCGGCAGCAGCAGCAGCTGCTGCTGCTGCTGTCCCTGCTTGTCTGTCCGTCCCTCTCTGCCTCTCTATATGCCCCTCTGTCCCCTCCTGTCTCCTTCTGTCTCCTGTCTCCTTTTTGTCTCTCCGTATCTCCTTTTATGTGTATATTTATTTACTAAGTATGCCTTCTATCTTTCTGTTTGTTGCAGCTGCTTCTTGGGCCCCCCATAGGGGCCCCTCAAAGGGCCCCTCAAAGGGTACAAAACTAAAGGGGGGGCCCCCTGTATTGCTGGCGGTGCTCGAGGGCTTCGTAAGCTGTGTGGGGCCCCTCACAGGTCCGCATGCATACAGCAGCACAGGCACAGATGCAGCAGCAGCAACAACAACAACAACATCTGCAGCAGCAACAGCAGCAGAGGCAACAGCAGCAGCAGCAGCAGAAAGAGCGGCACAGGGCCTTAATGCTTTGTTAGATCAATTAGCTCGTGCCTCCTCTTATGCATCTGACCAAGAAGTGTCTGCTGCAGCAGAGCTGGCACGACAGCTGCAGCAGATGCAGCAGCAGGTGCAGCAGCAGGTGCAGCAGCAGCTGCTGCAGCAGCAGAGTGTGGGGTTCCTTGGGGCCCTCTCCAGGGTCATCACAGGTATGAACACTGCGAGGCTAGAGCAACTGCAGCAGCAGCAGCAGCAGCAGCAGCAGGACCTCAGCAGCAACTCCTCCCCTAAGGAAGTGCAGAAAAAGCCTCGGGAGACTCTCTTTGTTGCTGTTGAGCCTGCCTAACTCCCAATACAAATAAAAATCCATTAGTACCCTTTGGGGGCCCCTCGGGGCGTCCCACGGACCCTCTGGGGGCCCTTTGGGGGGCCCCTAGAGGTTCTTTCGGGGTCTCTAAAGACCCTCTGGGGGCCCTTTAGGGGCCCTCAAAGACCCATTTGGGGCCCCCAAGTACCCCATGGGGGCCCCCTGATTTATGTGTTGGTATTATCTTTTAGTGGGTATTTTTTTCTTGATAGGATAGAAGGCAATACGTGCCCCTTTTGCTGTATAAGGGTTTGCCTTGAGGTGTCTATACAGCTCCATAGTAAGGGTACCTACTGCCCTCTTATCATAGCCATGAATAGTTAATAATAAACCTGAATATAAATATATAATTATATTTTTTTTATTTTATTAGGGTTTAGGGTTTAGGGTTTAGGGTTTTAGATCGGCAGCGAAAAATGCAACCAATAGAAAGAAGAATACATATGGGGTGCAAATTAGGGTTTAGGGTTTAGGGTTTAAGGGTTTCAGATGCATTCAGCAAGAATGCAGGGATGCAAATTAGGGTTTAGGGTTTAGGGTTTACCTCTTTTATCAACAAATATCCTTGCCTTTGTTGCGTATTGCTCTGCTAGTCGCCGCAGAGCGAGAGGCTTAACACCAACACCAAGCCTATATATACACAAACCCTAAACCCTAAACCCTAGATGCTGCTGATATAGGACCCCTAAACACTAAACCCTCAGCAGCGAGCTAGCTACCTGTCTACTTGCTATAGTCGTCAATGTGTTGTGTGCCGCTTCTAGGGTTTAGGGTTTAGTGTTGTAGGGTTTAGGGTTTTAGGGTTTAGTGTTCTAGGGTTTAGGGTTTAGGGTTTACCTGACCATAAGATCTGGCCATTCAGGCTCAAAGTAAGCCTTAACCCCCCTACCATCTAATATAAGTTGTGCAGCAAACCCTCTCTCCCTTTGCTGCAGCAGAGAGGTAGCAGCAGCAGCAGCAGGGGCCCCCTGCTCTTGTGTTGTTGCATGCAAATATACAAAAGAATTATTAGGGTTACTAGGGTTACAATGATGGTATACAGATACACCAGGACGAGATAAAGGCCTGCACGCAAACCCTAAACCCCTAAACCCTAAACCCTAATCCCCTTCTCAATCTATTCCCCTCCTCCAAGTCCCTCCTACACTGCCGCCGTCGAACAGACCAAACTAGGGTTTAGGGTTTACGCAAATGGCCCAAATTAGGGTTTAGGGTTTAGGGTTTAGGGTTTACGGTACCTGCGAAGGGCCCCCTCAGCAACAAGAGTAGCTAAAGTCTCTGGCATCTTTATTACCATGGGGCCCCACTTTTTGGGGGGCCCCTCTCCATCTAATCTTTGCAGTCTTATATTACTTCTTGCATGCACATCTGCGTCTCCTCTATAAAAAGCCCCATAACCGTAACTGCCGCCAACACTAAAGCAGCGCCGCTGCCCCCCCTTGCTGCTCCTTCTGCTGCTGCTGCTGGTTGCATGCACCCAGCTTGGGGGAGAGGGGCCATTTAGACGAACTATGCTTGCCAGGGGCCCATATGAGGGCCTCAGGGGACCCCAATAGACCTCAACAGGGTACAGAGGGGCCCCCCTTCTTGCGATCACTAAACGGGTTCTATATTCTTCGCGGTCATACTCACAAGAGGCACACTCTCCTCCAGGGAAGTAGGAAGGCCCCATTCCTGGGTGGGCGCCCCCCTCTCGTGGGTAGGGGGGTCCCCAAGGTGCTCTACACAACAGGGGGCCCCCCAGGGGGCCCCTCGACTCTGGCAGCAGAGGCAGCAGAATCCCGTGAGATGCTGCTGAAGGACGAAGCAGGCGCTGCATCTTTAAAGTAGATTGGGGGCCCCAAGGTGTACCCTGGGGCCCCCAGAGGAATTAAATTGAAGGATCAAGTGTACAGGGGCCCTCAAGGGGGGGCCCCTATACTAGCGACACCTGATTGACCAGCAGAGCTAGCCTACCCTATGCTCTAAAGGGTTAAAATTAGAGGAATTAAATTATAAAACGTAAATTAAATTATATTTATGTTGTCTATTGAAAGAAAATGCGTTAAATGCATGCGTTTTCTGCTGTTTGGTGGGGCTGTGTTATAGCAGCAGCAAGCTGCCTATACACCTGAGACATCCGACGTTGGAAGCAAGAGGAAACTACCCTAAATTAGGAATTTAAGGGAATATTTACTACTATCTATACTTATTTTATTTTATTTTATTTATTTTTATTTTATTTTAATTTGCTAAAAGAATATCTTCTAAACAGTAAGTAGAGCGAGAGCCCAATAGCATATGTAGTACTTGACCGCGCCTTCCAGTTTGCGGTGTATGTACAGAAGAAGGGGAAGAAGGAGGAAAATAATAAAATAAATGTTGTATAATAATAACAATAGTAAAAGTAATAATAATAAGGAGAATAATAATAATCCTCTGCAGCTTAAGAATAACAAGAAGACAGTTAAGTTTATACATTAAAAAGTGTACATTTATAGGATAATACGTAATATAAATATATAATATAGATATGCATAAAAAATAAATTAAATGAAAAACTCTTTCCCTTATTTAATGGCAACTAAAGAAGAGTAATTATACAAAATATTAAACAGTAAACACACGCAGGCTACCCTCCCTACAGATACATATACTCTGCATGCATGCATGCAGCTCTGTAAGGCCACATTTTTTGCATTTTTCTTTGCATGCATGCATCTTCTCTCATGTTTATCTTTATTGTCTTTATTATCTTTATCATCTGTATATTTATATTAAACATTATATATATACAAGAAGAGATAAAGAAAGAGTTACTAATTAGGAAATAATATATTTATTTTATTTATTGTTTATTTAATTATCCTTTAGGGTTTTGCGGTGTATATACACTAGGCATAAAAGGGTTTATCTTATATATAAAGAAGAAAACACTCAAGGGTTTATAAACCCTAGGGTTTTTATTTATATATATATTATTATAGCTAATATATTATTACTATTAAATAAATAATATTATTTACTATTATTATTTATTATTAAATAAATAATATTAATAATATATTAATATAAACTTTATCCTTATTAATATATTAATATAAACCTAGCTAATAATAATAAATAAGGGGGGTAAGAGATTCACCATTTAATTATATTTGCACGCATAAAGATAAAAGGGATAAATAAATAAATATATAAATATATAAGTAAATAAAATAAATAAATAAATAAATAAATAAATATTCGCCAATTAATTACTTGTATAGATATTTTTATTTATATTAATTGTCTTCTTATATAGATAAGGAACTTTTGCCTCCTTATGTATGCATGCAACAATAATACTTACATATAATATATTAATATAATTATATCTACCTATACTACTAATGCCTGCATGCAGCATTATGGGTATTGACGCTGCATGCAACACAGGCTACTCTGCTGCATGCATGCATGCATGCATGCATGCATGCATTGGTGTATATAAAGGATAATTCCCCTTTGTGGGGCTGTTAACAGGAAGTGCAGTAAACAAAGGAGGGAAAAGAAGAAGGAAGGAAGAATAAACAATGTATAAAGACAGAGAGTATTTATGCATGTATTGTTGCATGCTCAACAAAGCCCCATTAATTTTATTTGCATGCAAAGAATTGTTTATAAAAAGAATGAAAGGGATATTTAATACATAATTTATCTTGCAATATACATAATAACTGCCCATACACCTGAATAATATACACAAAAGATAATAATTATATATTGTTGTCCTTTTATTTAATTATTTCTTCCCTTTTGCCCTTACTAACAATTATAAATCATAAATAAGAATATATAAAGTTAGATTTTTATATATTATTGTATATATATACATCTTCTCCTTCTCCCTAAGGAAAGGGTAATATATACAATATTAATTATATAAAAGAATATCTTTGCTGCTGCTAACAAAGGGAAATAATATAACAAATAAGAAGTAAGAGATGCGTGCATTAAACAAAAAAAGAGAAAAAGAATAAAGAATAAAAATGAATTCTTTTAATGGAATATTTGTATAGTAGAGGTAAAAGGAAAGAAATGCAAGAAAAAGACGACTATAGGAAAAACAAGAAAAAGAGGGAAAAAAGAGAAAGACAGGGGAATAAGAGTTATAATTGTTATAAATATATAAATAAATGAATAAATAATATATAAATAATAATAATTTATTTATAATTGTAAAAATATATAATTATATTTATACTGGGGCTTTTTTCCCTTGAGGGCTTGTTGCTGCTGCTGTTGGCTGTTGTTGTTGTCCTTGTCTAGTAAGTAGGGCGGCAGCAATGGGTGGGGTCGTCAGCTGCGGATAAGGAGAGGAAAAAAGGACAAAAAGATCTTTTTATGATCTTCTTTTTGTTGTTTTCTTTTATTAATTAAAAATAAAATGACTCTTGCAATCTTTGGAGAGAGGCAAAGTGGCCAAGACGTCAGGTCCGCCAACGGTAAGCGTGCATATATAAATAAATATATATTATTATACAGGAGGCGGTGCAGGGTGTGGTGGTGTTTTCTTTCCTTCTTTTCAACCTTTTTAACTCCTTTTTTAGACCTTTCTCCTCTTTGTTTTGTTATAAACTTCATCACAAAAGATATTTATTCCAATTAGAGCGGCAATGATGCAATATCTTTCCTTAGGCAAAGGTGCATGCATGGCAGGGGGGAGGGGCCCCCAGGTCGAATCTTTGAGTAATTTGTTGAAATTAAATCTTCTGATGAATTATTTTTATATTTAAGACATTTTAATCACCAAGAAAACAGCGGAATATCCATACACCTCAGCAGGCACACACCCATTGTGCCGCCTCGTACAGCAGTCTTGCAAATGCTTTATTTGTCAATAAAACTCGCGATCTGTCGATAATTCATTTATAAAACAAGAATAAATATATTCCTAAGAATGATAAGGTCCTTCAGACGGGTATTTGGCGTCGGGAAATGTGAATTTTCATCTCCTTTCCACATCGGAGTTTCGGGTGCATAGGCAACTTCGGGTGTATAGGCAGCTTCTTTTTCCTTTTTTTCTGCATTTTTGCGATTTCAGTGGCGGCCGTGATGGCTGTGGCAAATGTTTTAAGATCTTCTCTTGGTCCTCATGGATTAGATAAAATGCTTGTTGATGATATTGGTAATTATTCAATTTAATTCATTTAAACCCTAAACTCCAAAACCCTAAACCCTAAACCCTCAAAGTCTTCAACTTTCTTGTGGATCAGCGACACCTCCACTTATGCAGCTTGTATTCTTTCTGTTCCTCTATTCAGTTCGTTTCTGTTTCTTGTTTCTCCTTCTATGTCTTTCTTAGTTGTTTACTTCTTTCCCCCTCCTCCTTCTCCCTTTATTTCCTTTTTTTTCTTCTATTTTCTTCCTTTTCCTTCTTTTTTCCTCTTTTTTTTCCTATAGGAGAGGTGACAGTGACTAACGATGGCGCAACAATTCTTAAACAACTAGAAGTTCAACATCCAGCAGCAAAAGTTCTTGTTGATCTATCAGACATGCAAGTAAGTCTTTTTTTTTTTTTTTTAATTTTTATTAATTTATTTATATTTATTTATTTAATTATTATTTATTTGTTGCTTCTTCTGCTGTTGCTGTTGTATAGGATAGAGAAGTAGGAGATGGTACAACTTCTGTTGTACTAATTGCCTCTGAATTATTGCGTTTATCTATGCAATTAATAAGAGATGATTTACACCCAACAGCCGTCATCGCTGGTTATAAGTTGGCTATGAAGGTGACTATACACCCCAAACCCTAAACCCTAAACCCTACCTAAACCCTAGATACCCTTAATACCCGTAATAATATAATAGACAATCTATATTTATATAGGGAGAGAAGTGAGGGGGATTAGGGTTATTATTATTAATATATCTATATACACATAATTATTCATTCTTTTTCTTTTTTTTTCTTCTTTTTTCTTCATATACATATAATTATTCATTCTTTTCCTATTTTTCTTTTTCTTGTTTTTTTCTTTTTTTATACAGGAATGTGTTCGTTATTTAAAGAATAATTTAAGTATAGATATAAATAAATTAGAGACAAAAGAATTAATACTAAATGTTGCTAAGACATCATTAGCATCTAAATTTATAGGGGCAGATGAGGATTTCTTCCCTAATCTTTGTCTTAATGCTATTCAATCTGTTAAAATGGTAAGTTTATTTATTTATTTATTTATTTATTTATATTTATTTATTTATTTAGTTAATTATATTTATTTATTCGTTATATCTTGAATATACTAACAAATACCCTAAACCCTAAACCCTTCAAAACCACCGCCACAAACCCTCCTGCAGCATTAGCAGCAGCAGGAGCAGCTGTATAAATAAATAAATAGAATAAATAAAATAAATAAATAAATAAATATATTTGTATATTAATATATGTATATACAGATAACAGAGAGAGGAGATATACGTTATCCAGTAGAGGGAATATCTATACTAAAAACTCATGGTAAAAGTTTTAAGGAATCTGTTCTTGTTGATGGATTTGCTCTTAAGACATCAAGGGCAGCACAAGGTAAATTAATTAATTAATTTAATTAATTAATTAATTAATTTAATTAATTAATTAATTAATTGCTTTATTTATTCATTTATTTTAATTTATTTATTATGTTTTATTTTATGTCTTATTAAGTTGTTGATGATTTCGCTCTTTAATACAACAAGGACATCATAAAATAAATAAATAAATAAATAAATAAATAAATAAATATTTATAAATAAATTAATTATATAATATAATATATAAATATATGTATATATATGTATATATGTATATTTATTTAGGTATGCCTATGGTGGTAAAAGATGCAAAAGTAGCTCTTGTAGATTTTGGCTTCCGTCAGCATCGCATGCAATTGGGTATCTCTATTGAGGTCAACGACCCTAAAGATCTAGAAAAAATTAGACAACAGTAAGCAGCAGCAGCAGCAACAGCAGCAGCAGCAACAGCAGCAGCAACAGCAGCAGCAGTAGTAATAGTAGCAGTGGCAACAGTAGTAGGAACAGCAGCAACACCAACAACAGTAGCAACAACAGCAGCAAATGCAACGGCAACAGGTACAGCAGTAACAACAGCAACAGCAGTGGCAACAGCAGCAGCAGCAGCAAGGTTGCTGTGTTCTGTTGTGTATGCAGGGAGAAGGACATAGCCCGTCAGCGTTGTAAGTTAATTTTACAATCAGGCGCAAATGTCATCATTACTACTCAGGTGCGTAACGCCAAACTTTCAGGTGTATAGGCAGCTCGGGTGTATAGGCAGCTCGGGTGTATAGGCAACCTTTTTCCATATATTGGGGTTATATACATCCATATAATTGTTGCTTATTAATTGAATATTATATACTTAATAAATATTAACCACTTATTTATTTCTTTTTCCCTTTGCTGCTGCTGCTGCTGCTGCTGCAGGGTATTGATGATATGTGCCTTAAGTACTTCGTAGAGGCGGGCGCATTGGCAGTACGAAGAGTATCCAAGAAAGATCTACGCAGAATTGCAAAGGCTACAGGAGGTACAGCAGCAGCAGAAGCAGCAACAGCAGCAGCAGCATTAGTAGTAGTTGCAGGTGTTAATTCTGCTGCTGCTGCTGTTGCTTTATTTGCGTGTATAGATATTATGCATCATTATATGTGGATTATTTGGTGCTGTTTTTGCTTTTGTTGCTGTTGCTGCTGCTGCTGCTGCTGCTGCATGTATTCTATATGTATACATGCATACATATATATTTATATTTTTCCTTTTTTTTTCTTTTTTTCTTTTATTTATGAATAAATAGGAACTATTTGTCTAACAATGGCAACATTAGAAGGAGACGAAGTATTTGATCCTTCTTGTCTTGGTTATTGTGCACAAGTTAGCGAAGAAAGAGTTGGTGATTGGGATTATCTATTCTTTAGCGGATGTAAAGCTAATAAAGCTGCTACTATTATACTTAGGGTAAGATAAATAAATATAAATATATAAATATAAATAAATAAATAAATATAAATATAAACCTATAAATGTATTTATTTACTTTTTTGTCGTTATTTATTCTTTAATATGATGGGTTATAATGGCAGTTAGTAGTTTGTCTTCCTCGTGTTTCTAGGGTTTAGGGTTTAGGGTTTAGGGTTTAGGGTTCGTTTTTTTTTCTTTTTTTTGTGTGTGTGTATTAGGGAGCAAATGAGTATATGTTGGATGAGGTAGAGAGATCTGTACATGATGCATTATGTGCATTAAGTCGTTGTTTATCTTCTTGCAGTGTATGTCCAGGTGGTGGTGCAGCAGAGGCAGCATTAAGTGTATATTTAGAGGATTTTGCTCGTACACTAGGCAGCAGGGAGCAGCTAGCTGTTGCTGCATTTGCAGAGGCGCTACTTATTATACCTAGACAGCTAGCCCTAAATGCAGCACTAGATGCATGCGATTTAGTAGCTAGATTACGTGCTGCGCATGCAAAACAGCAACAATGTGGTGGTGTTGCTGCTGCTGCTGCTGCTAAACCTGCTGCTGCTGCTGCTGTTGATGAATTACAAGGATTAGATCTTATTAATAATAAATTATGCTCCTCTATTAATAAAGGAATAGTAGAGGCAACTATATCCAAGATAAAAAGTCTTAAATTTGCTACAGAGGCAGCAATTACTATACTACGTATTGATGATTTTATTCGTCTTGCTCCTGAACCAGAAAGGAAAGAAAGGGATTAATTATATTTATTTATTTATTTATTTATTTATTTTATTTATTTTATTTTATATTATTTTATATCTATTTTATTTATTATTCTTAAAAAAAATGCCGTCTTAATTAACTATTTATTAACCTATTTATTATTATGCATGCAGATGCAGGGGTATCAGTACTGGGGTGTATATGCACATACACCCCAAACAATAATACAGCAGCAGATCCATACCTTCTACAGGGATATATCCATGCATGCATGCATGCATGCATGCATGGATATAAACGTGCATGCATATGACCGTGCATGCATGTAAAGGGTGCATGCGTGCATGCACCTATACATGCATGTAAAGGTGCATGCATGCGTCTTTGCATGCATGCATCTATGTGTGCATGCAGGTATGCATGCACTTTTGTCTGTGGGGCTTTGAGGGGTTGGCTCGGCGGTTGTTGGGTATTGCCGCTGTAGTAAATATAATTAAGATTTAATTAATTTAATTAATTAATTAATTAAATTAATTGATTAAATTAATTAAATACAATTAAATGTCTTTTAGAAGGATAAAGGAGGAACTTTATATTTGGCGGTGTATGTATGTATGTATGCATGCATACACCGCAAAAATGCAAAGCTCCCTATACACCCGAGCATAGACACAAATAAATAAAAGTTGTTTTCTTTCTTTTTCTTTCTTTTATTAAATAGTTCTTCCTCTTCGACATATTTCTCCTTCTTAGAGGCATTTGTTTGCTGAGGTCGTCGTTATATAGCGCTTTATATGCGTATGCATGCATCTACAGACAATTACATATAAACACACATATAACTATATATATGTATATGCGTATATACAGCTAAAAGTGTAGAGCTGCTGCTGTTGCTGCTGCTGTTGTTGTTAAGGGATGCGTGCATACACCCGGTTGGATGCATGCGATTGTAGTGTAGTGAATATACACCACAATATACAATCGCTGCAGGGTTTAGGGTTTAGGGTTTAGGCCTTTATAGGGCCTTATTTGTATAAAATAAGTGTTTACGGTGTCTGCGCATACACCCGAAAAGATTTCTTCTTGTATTTGTTTGTAGGGGAGAAACAAGAAGATGTATTTTATTTATAATATTATAAAGAAAAGGGATATATCTTTATTAGTATATACACCTGAATAAAGGGGAAGGGAAGTAATATACTATTATTTAGTTAATTATTATCTTTATTATTATTTATCTGCTGCATAACAACAACTTAATAAGAAAAGATGCTGCGGTGTATCCCTCTTATTATATAACAATATTATGTATATACACTACAAACAAAATGGTAACTGCTTTCTTTTTATTTATTTAATTTAATTCTCTTAATGAATAATTATATAATTGAATTGTTACTAAGGGAGGCTGCTGCTGCTGCTGCTGCTGCTGCTGCTGCTGCTGCTGCTTAACTGCCTTCTTTCTTTTGTATTTATATCTACATATTAACATATTAACTAGAGCCGTGAGGTAAGGTACTATAGAGATAAAAAGAGGCACACAAAACAAAGCAGGAAAAAGTATTTGTATTTTAATTATATTTTATTTAAAAAGTCTTTTTAATGCATGCAAAAAAGAGAAAAGAAGAAGAATTCCTCCTTTATGCTGCTTGCGCGTGATATATATGAAGCTGCTGCTGCTTCTTGGCTGTCTGCATGCACTGCAGCAGCCGACGACGACAATTGCAAGAAAAAAAGAGGAAAAAACACGAAAAAGAGAAGAAAATTCGTGAGGAATATTAATAAAAGTGCTGCATTATTATTGCATGCAGCAGAAAGGAGAAGCACGGCTATAATTATTGTGTGCTTTCTCTCTTTGCTTACTTTCCCTCTCCCTCTCTCCAGTCGGCGCCCCACCAACTTCCTTCAACGCCTGTTTTTTAAGGAAGAAAAAACTACATTTTTTAATTGTGATGATTTATTCAACTTTTGCGCTTTCTGCGGAAGCATTGAGGTGTCTGTACACCTCAGACCGGACCAGCCGCTGCCGCGCAGCCGACTCATGAATTATCCATTTTTTTGAGGGAAAGCTGCAATGATCAGCATAAAAAAGTCTTTATTTTCTTTTTTATTTTCTTATACCTTCATGAAGTTTTTAAATTAATCATAAAAACATCCAAGATCGACCCGCAGTGGATACGCGTGCGCCTTCTTGTGGTCCGCCGCGTATCGTCTCGGCGAAATGACGGCAAGTGGCCGCCTCATAACGCCTTTTTTCCCCTTTTTTCTATTCTTTTTCTTTAACTAATATCTACAAGAGGCATATAAGGGCTGTTAAAGATTATTTGAGCCGTAAAGAGGACCAAGACGGTCTCTATTGCACACGATCTCAGGTGTATAAGCAGAGTTGTTACCGGTGTATAACCACTAAAAAACGCATGCATACACCAGCAGGACACAAAACGGCGATTTTTCTGTAGGCGAGTTTCTTCATGCAGCGTCTTCTTCCTCTCCCGCATCATCCTTCTTGCTTCTCTTGCTGCACCTGCTGCTGTTCTTCCTGCTACTCTTCTTCCATCTGCATGCACCTAATGGAGTGATATCGTGGCACATTGATGGCCAGTGGCATCAGAAGACGATACAGACCACCAGCAGCAGCAACAGCAGCATCAGCAGCATCAGCAGCATCATCATCAAAATAAACAGCAGCAGCATCAACAACAACAACAACAACAGCAGCAACAACAACAACAACAGCAGCAGCAGCAGCAACAGCAGCAACAGCAGCAGCAGGAGCATCAGGATGGGGAGCTTAAATGGCTGTTTACCATTACATATAGCTCGTCATAGTAGCAATAGATGGCGTCGTTATTTACGTCGTTGTCTTCGTCCCTCTCAATTAGATATTCAATATACAGCAGCACAATGTAAGTTGCTGCTGCTGAATCCTCATCGTTTATATAGTCTTGTATCCTTAAGACAGAAGCAGCAACAGTCTTGTGCAAGAGAGGATCCTGCATTCTTGTTGCTGCTGCTGCTGCTCCTTATTATTACAGGAATTGGACATGCTGCTGCATTACAAGCTGCTGGTGCTGCTACTTTTGCTGCTGTTGCTGCTGCACCATTAGCTGCATTTATTATTACTGCTTTTATTGTTATTCCTCTTGCTTTCTTCTTTCATCATAGAGAAATTAATGCTGCTGCTGCTGCTGCTGCTGATAGCAGCAACAGCAGCAGCAGAAGCAACAGCCCAAGTGGTATATCGACGGAACTCGACAGCAGCAGCAGCAGCAGCAACAACAGCAGCAGCAGCAGCAGCATATCTTTTGATTTTGCGTATGCCTTTGATTTACACTGTAACGGTTGGTTTGTATACGGGGTGTATACGCAGGTATTACCTTTATTGCTGCAGCCTTTGCTGCTGCTGCTGCCTAGTATAATACGTCGTGTTGCTGCTGCTGTGCTGCAGTGCTACGGTGTATGGGGATATTCTTTTGTGTCTGCATTAGGGTATCTAACTATAGGGAAAGTTAGGTCTGCTGCTGCTGCTGCTGCTCTATGGGGCTTGTGGTTATTTATATTATTAGCTGTTGCTGCATGCAGTATAGCAGGGATGGATCTTATGTACTTCCCTGCTAGGTTGCTGCTGCTGCTGCTCACTAATGCAGAACCACCAGAGCATGCTGCAGCTGCTGCTGCAACAACAGCAGCAGCAGCAGCAGCTAATGCAACAGCAACTTTACCCGCAGATATCCCCCTTAGCAGATAATAAACGTTTTCTTCTCGTCTTCATCAGGTGTATGTACACCCCGTTATTATCTTAGAAAGATTAATCACATTCACCTACAGCCTAGGGTTTAGGGTTTAGGGTTTAGGGTTTAGCTGAAGCAGCAGATAAGTCCGTTTTGTTAGCTATTTGCATGCGCAGAGAGGAATAATCCTCTGTCGCTGTTAGTAACAACATAGATAGTAATATTAATATTAATTATTATTATTATAAATAATAATAACATAATAATAATAATAATAATATATTATTTAACGTAATATTCTACCACAGTTGTTTAGAGGCAACAACTAGACAAAAGGAAACCCTCAATAAAAAGAGGCGATTGCATTAAACAAACAAAGAAGAAAAGGTTTTATTTATTTACTAATTTAGTTAATGAATATAGACAGAGGGTTGGTATTATAACTATATTAGAGGGTCTGTTTGTTCTTGGTTATGCTTTGAAGGGTTTAGGGTTTAGGGTTTAGGGTTTTAGGTTTCTAGGGTTTACGATATTAGGGTTTAGAGTTCAGAGTTCAATGAATGGTCCTCCTATCCCCTTCCTCATCTTTTCTTCTTTTATTTGCATAGACAGACAATAAAATCCCTTTTGTTTACATTTATTTCTTCTTATAAACCTTTTTAATTGCATTTTTTCTCTTTTTATCTAATTTTATTCCTTCTTGCAATACTGCTGCCGTCGGGCACCGACCGCTCACGTGTTGTATGTGGTGCTCACCTTTTGCGCTATTTATTGTTGTTAAATTGTATTTTTTGAATTGAAATTCAATTATACTGAAATAAAAACATTTAATTGTATTTAATTTAATTAAAAATGTAATTGCTTTCCTCTTTCTGATGCTATCTGCGCATACACCAGCCGCTTTCTTGGCGTGCCCAAGGAAGCGGAGCACCAGCCATCTTTGCAACTTCTCCATTAACGCGTTACTGGGGTAAATGTGGCTTTTTTTCTTCATTTTTCTTCTTTTCTTGCATGAAGGAATATTGAAAAGGTATTTCAAGGGTTTTGTACCCTTATTCTTAAGCAGGAGGCAGCAGATCTTATTCCTATATCTGCAGGTGACTGCATGTCAGTGGAAGAATCCTGCTTCGATAGATCCAACGGTCACCCGCCAGTCAGTCGTCTTCCTTAGTATTTGCTTATTTTGTTTATTAAATAATAAAACAAAACTAACAAATAAATCAACAGAAGAAGATAAAAACTGCGTTTTCTGCAAAAATACAGCAGGCAAGTGGAGTCATTGGTGGTCGGTCACCAGTCTTCCTGTCCGCCAACGCTCACCTCATTTTAATGGCTTTCTTATGTCCTCTTATTGTTTGTTCGAATAACAACTCTTTACATAACTCTTTATATTATTGCAAACTTAAATCGGAACAAAAGAGGAGAGTTTTACCGCTGCTTTCCGCTGCGTGCAGGTCGGCAGCGGGGCGGCGTTTCTCTTGATTTCAGAAGGAAAGCTGCGGCATTTGTTCTTGTTGAGTATCTAAGGAATTGAATTTCTTCTTTATATCAATTGATTACCCCTTTATATTCTTATTTTAATGATGGGAGGGCCTGAAGAAGGCCCTGGGGGCCCCAAGGATACCCTGCCGCAGCAGCAGCCTTGGTGCTGTCGGCACACGTCTACCTGCGAACACCGCAACCCCCATTCCTTAGAGAAGGTTACAGCTGTTGCTGCAGCAGTTGCTGCTGTTGCTTCTACTGGTATTCATGATGGTGCAGCAGAGTCTCAGCTGGAGGCCCTTAATCTTATGTTACCTAGAGCTGCATCACGTGCAGCAGGTGCAGCAGCAGGAGCAGCAGGAGCAGCAGCATT